CATTCCCAATACCCCTAACATTTAGAAATTAGCCATCTATGCTGCACGGCTGCACCTGAAGTAAAATCCTGGGACCGCCTATGGATATTTCTGAAAACTATTTTGAGGAAACAATTTTGCGTATTATCATTTATCAATTATTTGTACCTAGAGGTTATTACGGTTACGGGATATAGTACTAACTAGTAACTACTAACGACCTACTACTTAGTATAAGGTAACGGATGTCAAATTTTGATTTACTTTGTTTAGTCCCCCCCCCCCTCATTGACAAATCCTGGGTACTCCACTGCAGTCACTCGCACAAAATGTGATCACTTACTACGCACACGGCACATAATTATTTTACTCGATCCCTCGCATGCACCGCAAGCATAGAAAATTGCCTATATTTAACTCCTTAAAAACATTCTGTATTTTATAATCTATACCACACTCCATGACCGTTACCGCGAATATTGGGTAGGTTCTGTCAAGAACTTTCAGCTACCGGTTGACAGTAGCACGTTAAGATACCTCCTCCTCTCCCCACCAAGCCTCGCATAGTTGATTTAACGACAATCGTGTCTACACCATAATAATAACATGTCTTTACCAAGACTTCAACCAACCATTATAAAAAAACAACCGTCAGATTTGCACACTTTTGTTCTTGTATATCAATTAGACTTATATACTTATATAGTGTTGCCCGCATGCAGTTATAGGTATAAACACTTTTTGGGAAATTTCAACTCATTCACATTAGCAACACATTTTTCTAAACTAGTATCAACAATTATTCACACTACAGCTGCTCACTAATGACACACACCAAAAATAGGGGTCGCAAATAATAAATAATTGATGACAGGTCTCAACTAATAATTCAATTCGAGTTTCAGATTGCTTAATTTTTTTTAAAAGCTTATAAATACGTTTGTATACCTTGATCTTGAATGTTTAAATTGCATTGAAATAATATTCATGTTTAAAAATCCAACGTAATGTATTAAATCGCAATCGAAAAATGTTTCAAATTTTAAATGTTTTCACCTTCAATACGCGAACGAAACGTTAAAGCTTATGCATGACTGGTCTCGGCAGTCGTGCGAATAGAAATTGCAGGAATACAGAAAAAAAATTTCAGTGTTGGGGGTATGGATTTGCATGTCATAATCAATCAAAACCGTTATAATGAATGAGTGAAAATATTTTTGTTTAACATTTAAAGGTGGAGACAGGTGGGGGAAGGGGGTGGATCACTCAAAATCCACTGTACATTACGCTTGACGCCGTGCCTGTGAATATTAATTTGTGATATTATATAATATTTTGATTCATATAAAATCTATATGATTTAAATATAAGCTTATAGACTATATACTTTTAGTAGACTAAAATTATACAATTACAGTGATTATTACAATAGTAATAGCAATAGTAATAGCCTGCAATAGTTATTTGAAAATCGTGTAAAAATTTTAAGACCATGTGTTTAATAGCAACAACAATGTTAAAAAGAAACATAATATTATGTAAATAACTACTCGAAAATATGATCGGACACTGCCATAGCATATATTTTATATTTTGTCAATTTTAAAATTAAAAAGTTGAAATTTATATACTTATTACGAAAATTAGATTTTTTTTTTAGTTTTATTTTTATTCGATTAGGTTATATGTTTATTGTTCTTGATGATTATGGATTGAATGTTTTGTTCAATTTCATATTTTATACCATAGTGATTTGTACATATTTATATTTATTTACATTTTTAATTTGTGTAGTTCCTAGAAAACCGGTCGGCGTGAATATTTTTATGGATATGGTACGAATAAATAAATAATTTAACTTTTAAATGTTTCCCCGAATGAATAAATTGTATTCGATTTGAACAAAGAATAAAATAATCTAATATTTTATGTATTATAATAGCCGGTTATAAATGACTCGTAAACTTGTCGAGCATTAATGTTCAGCTTGAAATTTTAAATTAGATTGGTTGTTGAACATTTAATTATATTATATATAATTAATTAATCGATTTTTACTGTATCATCTTGTTGTGTGAAGTAAAAGTATGTCATAATAAGTCGATGTCCATTTCATGTAATCGAATTATATTGACATTATAAATTATAAATTGACAGCATGTGTAAACATCATTTCATAATTTATAAATTTATAATATAATTCATATAATTTATACATTATAGTATCTGCAGATTATAATTCATCTATACGGTGTAGGTATATTATGTTCTAGATCTAGAATGTATTGAGAAAAAACCTAATATCGTTGTTTGTTGATTTTTCATAAGTAAACAAAATTATATAAATTAGTACTTAGGTATATTATCAGACTAATCGGGTTCAGTTTTAATGGTATTATAATGTTGGTATACGGTGTATTATTGTAACTCCCATACACATTATAGGTTGAGGAATTTACTTATAACTAATTTTACAGCGAGTAACTTCCTATAGGTATCTACCTTTAGATACTTGGACTCGTAGTGTCATCACATACTCTCCATTATCTAAAAGATAAGTTAACCAGCTGACCCTCGTGAGTTTTATATTTGAATTAGCGTTCAAATTTTAATATATTATTAATAAAAAAGTGTTATATTTTGTTTTTATCATTAATATGAATAGTGTGTCAAATTGTGCGTAAAAAGTTAAAAGCTAGTCAAGTCGTAGGTATATATATTACTTTTGGGCTCCGCTAAAAGAAAAAAGAAAAAGCATGGGAAAACCAGAGTCCATTATTAATTGGAGTCCTATCTGGTTGAGATTATTTGGAGACGAAACATCGAAGGAGAATATTCATTATTCATTTGACAACATATCGAAAAATATTTCCGAAAATTGGACCACGGAAATAATGAAAAAATAATAGTATCCCGGAATAAGGCTATTCTGGAAAATTCAGTTCAAAATTCAATATGTCGGACGTGTTTCTATCATCTCCCATAAGAATCCATGTAAAATTTCTTTTGATTTCCTTCTGTTTATTCTGTGTTCTTACTATTAAATACATTCTACAGCATCTTTTTTTGAAAATGTTCTCCCACTCTATATGGGAATTAATCATCAACCCCATGAAACCCGTCATAATGAAATTTTATCTACCCCGAGCAGAAGGAGGGATATGAATGATATTAAATTTTTAAATGGCTTAGTTTCTAGTGTTTCTACTGTAATTGATTCACCTTGCTATCCATAACAGGTTTTTGCGTTCCTGGAATAACCCACTCTCGAAACCCTTATTACCTATCTTCAGTGACAAGAAATTATTTAGAAGATGACCCTCTAAGGATAACTATGTCTTTAGTTAACAGTTAATCTAGTCACGATGATTCTTTCTTTCAGGTTTTTTCTATCGTTGTATTTAGTCATTATAAGCGTTTATTAGGTTAATGTGTAATAATGTATAAATAGTATATAATTAATAATATATGTATAATTAGTACATAATATTGTGTATTTTAATTTATAAGATAGGTACTCAGTATGTTAATATGTTTAATGCCAATAAACATATTACGTTACCATGTACATTTCATTAATATGAAGGCACTAAACCGTATGGCGTTTATGGATAAAAAATAAAAATAAAAAATACTTTTATATAAATGACAATTTATATGTGTGTTTTGTTTTAACAGAAGGGGGATATAAAGTCAAAACCTTAAGGAAATTGAGACTCGCGTTATAGTTGCGGCATCGGGAAGTAGCCGGGATAGCGGATTAAGGTAGTAAAAGTTTTCAAGTATCGATTTATATAGGTTTATAACCTATTAGATTATGAAATTGGGGGGGGGGGTCAAAGGAATCCACAATTATAGTATCCCCCATTTTAGAGGACTAGTTTCGCCTATATGGGCATAGAGGTTTGAGATCGATTTTAAAAATGTGACTTTGTGATCGCACTGCAGTAATAGTTATCTATTCATATTATTATATATGCATAATAATATTAATATTTTACTATAATATTTACAAGGCTGTTTAAGTTCATGACTTTTTTACAACTCAGTTAAGAGTTAGTGCGGATAAATGAGAAAAAGTTAAAGTTAATTTAGTTTTTGGTTAACATCGAGTTAAGTTAAAAGTTAGTACTCATTTTTGTAAGACTTTTTATTACTACGCTTGCGTGCTTTATATTTTACCAACCCAAAACTAAATTATAGACAATTAATGTTTATATTTTCATATGTACCTAGCATGTATTTCATTGAAGTTTATCGTTCTGAAAAAAAAACAATTGTCATCTATATAATACGTTAGAGATTGGAAAAAAATAAAATTTTTAACTTTAAACGATTTACGGTAAATAGTTTTTGACACGAAGACGAAATCGACTGAAATATTGAAATTTACCAAAAACAAAACAAATTAACTCGACTTATTTCTATTAAAACGAACATCAATTAATTCGTCGATTTCACGTCAGTTCAAAAACGAATTTATTAAGTCGAGTCAATGAAATTCCAAAAGTAGCTGTGCAGTCGAGTTAAAAAGCTAAAACAAAAATTAACACGAAACTTTTTAACTCTCTAATGCCCGGCCTTATTAGTACGACAGACGACGTGGCGATTGGCGACCTGCAGCGTATAGTATATATAGTGTAAGTAAAATGTATATAATATTAATTATTATTATAAATACACGACGAGTGATGCAGCGTTCGCGCCTTATCGCCACTATATTTCTCGGGGTCCAGCAGTCGGACGGTCGTCGGAGATAAGACGCGTTTATAATAGTGCAAGTCGTATTATAATCTATATGCGCATAGGTACTAATAATTTTATTATAAATTATTGTTGTAATATACGATAAAAATGCGAACGCAATAATTATTATTACACAGTACGAAAACCGCGCAATGTGTTACCTATACCATATATTGTGCATCGATGACTATAATAATATTATACCTAGCCACTATAATAGTATACGATTAGCTGTGGCCAGTCATAATTCGGTTAGCCTCAATGTCGGTCGTAGGCATAATATAGTGTACCTATTCCGCGCGCATAAAGGTTAGCATAAAATAATATAATATTATATAATATTATATAACGCTATATTATTCGAGTCCACCGTATAATTATATTTATAATATTATGAATAACATTATGCGTCCTGCCAAAACAATGTGACGACGACGACGACGACGAGCTTGTGTGTGCGTTCATCGAATTTCGGCGATCATGACGGATATTTTCGCGGCAATATAGTGTCGAATTTCGAGATGATTTTTTTTTCGTTCTGCGAGCCCAAAACTGCAGTAAACCCGGAGCTATAGTATCGCATAATCGTATTTGAGATCGATCGAATGTTTATATAATATTCTGTATGTATATATGGTGTGTTATTGGTATTATATTATAGTGTTATTATCATCGTCGTCGAAAGTTTTTAAATACAGTGAAAACCTCGCAGTGAATACACCGCAAACTTCGTCATAAAAATATACAACTTCCAATAACCGAAAGCGTGTCGAACAGTGTTTTAAAATCGTGTCGTGATAATTTGCGAACAATCGCTCGAGTTTCGAGTATTATATTGTACCGCCGCAGTTGTTAATTGTTGCCGACGGGGGTTGAAACCGAACGACGACGACCGTTTAAAAAGTTTGTCGCACATACACATACACGCGGATACCGCTCGTTTAAGGGTGGTTTTACGAGAAAAGCGTCGAATCCACGCTGCAGCGATTTCGATGAAAATCGCTAAAAAACTTTCCCGTCTCGATTTATTAGCGCGCCACTAAGTATAATTATAGCAATAACTGTATACGAGTAAATAATATTATGATATAGGATAACAGTTTAAAAAAAAAAAAAAATCAATCAATAATATTACGTATACTCGCGAAATGGACTAGGCAAAGCGATATATTACGATCAAGTACCCGCTAGACGACCGCAGTGGCGACAGTGGCGTCTGAGGGGGTGCGGTGCAGCGCACTCGCATATTTATAACGTAATTATCGAGTACGATAAAACAACGACAACGACAACGACAACGACAACGACAACAACAACGACAACAACAACAACAACAACAACAACAACAACTGCATAATATCATAATAATAATAGTCAGCACACGCAGTAATACGTGAACATAACACAACGATATAGAGGGGGTCGTTAATTATTGTTATTATTATATTATATCGGCATATGTCGAGCGGTGCTTAGCCGGGAAGGGGTCGGGGGCGGCGAGGAGATAGCGCGCCGGTCGCCACGCGCGCAGAACGCGACCGCGGCGCAGAACACGATCGCGATCCGATGGAGCTGGCCGTGACGAACGCGACCGCGTCGTCGTCGCCCGCGACGCCGGTGTTCCCAGTCCCGTCCGGCACCCGTTTAACGAGTTCCGGATTGCAGATGGGTGTCACCGGGCTGTACGGGTTCGGCATATTCGGCAACCTGTTGGCGCTGTTCATATTGCACCGGACCCGGTCGAGCAGCAACCAGAAGCACGGGTTCATGTTGCGGTGCCTGGCCACCAACGATTGCATCGCCCTCACCGGCATGCTGGTCCAGATGTTCGTGAGCGTCGGCTGGCCGGGCACCAGGAACAACGTGTGGTCTTGCCGGATCCGCGTCCTGTGGCGGTTCTTCGGGCTGGGTTCCGGGTGCGTGGCCATCGTGATGGCCGTCGAACGCTGGCTGGCCCTCACCAAACCGTTTTTTTACCAAAAGGTGAGTACCTATATGCATATGTATCATACCTGTTGCTGCTGCTGCTGCACGTGCGTGTATACCGTGCACCCGGTTTGATTGGGTCAGGCGGGGTCGGGTTATATGTGGAAACTGCCCCTGCATTTCTCCTGCACCTCCCCACCAGATCCACACGCTGCACCCAAGTACGCCTGAGTATTAAGCTCGTCAAATACGCGCTTACAGGGGTTGATTTTTATTTATTGATACATTTCAGAAGTTTTGTTTAAAAAAAAATTCAAAGTATAAATTTCTGATAAATTTTATAATTTCAAGGAAATAATGTAAAAAAGAAAGCTAGATGCATGTACACTTATGATGCAGCACTCATCAAAATGACCTTACTTTGAAAATATATTGAATTATAAACTGCAGTGCAATGGCCCTTAATAAAATGAAAATATAAAATTATGACATTTTAGAAACATTTTCTATTGATATCTTTAGCTTTTTTTATATCAACGCATAAATGAAGGGAAATAGCCATAACTACAATAGCGTGAATTTGTTAAAAGAACGGCAGAAAAGTTCAAAATACATTAATATATAACTGCTGCATCAGGGGGCTCATATAATATTTTCGTTTCAGTGCACATTTGTTAAAGTTTTTTGCCGCTTACTTTCATCTAAAGTTTAAAAAATGTTCAATATATTTTATATTTTGTGTGTTAGAAAAATTTAAAAATTTAATATTGGTGTCTCTCAAATAATGTGTATTATCTCGTTATTTGCAAAGTATTTCGGCTAAAAAGGATATGATGTGATTTTAGCTAAACCGATGAAAAATAATGATAAAATATTGATTTGGAAGTATCAGTGAAAAATAAATTACGAAACAGTTGCAGTCGGGTGCTCTAAACATTTTCGTCGAAACATTGAAGTTGTGAGTATAGCAGCAACTTAAATGGCGGTGTCTTAAATGACTGGATTAATTATTTAATGATTTCAACTTTCAATCTACTTATCTATTAAAAAATGTCGTTCAGTGGATGGGGCTGGAATAGTCTTTTAATGCTTCGATTTGAAAATTCCGAACATAACACGACGAAAGAAATATATGTATTTATTTAATTTGTTGACTTGAAATCGCAATCAGCTCTGCTGATTAAGCATAGCCAAGGGCGAGGGCAGCAGGGGAACAATTATTGCCCCCACCCCACATGTCCGTGGTGAAAAAATGTTGAACGAAATCTGGAATTGGGCTTAAAAGTTTGAAAATACACCTGGTTGCCCCTCACCCCCCGATGGCATTTCTAGCTACGCCACGGGGCATTAACCTGTATTATATGCTATTATAACAGTAAATATTAACCTTATTTAGTTGGTTAATTTTGTATACGACGAACAAGTGAGTGCAAATTCGTAAGTACTCAATAGGGCGGGTCTAGCTAAAATAAAATGTAAATACGCTGGAGCGGAATCACACATATATATATATGCATGAGACTAGCTCAGTATGAATAGGTACATGACATTATATTATTATCATATTGTTACCTATATTACGTACTCAAGCTTGCCGCACTTTTGCGTCTGCGACAACAATATTTAATATCGAAAAAGTCAACGGTTCCTCATTCCGACCGATTTTAATATATTAATACACGTTCGAATTCTACGAAAATAATATATTATTATAATCTGTTATACTATTACATTAATATAGTGCGGCGAGCGGTGTTGTTCACGATTCGTTCGTGTTTTCGTATTATGTGTATTCGAGTCGCTCGATGGGTGATAACAAAGACAGATTTACGCACGTCGATTATCAGGATGCAAACAAGTAGTTTCAAAGTGTCATAACCAAGCAATGTAATAAAATCGTAATCAAAAATTCGTTATTATGTTGTACGATTACACGTGCAGTGTATCATTGGTTTCCTTTCATCAAATAATAGTACGTAAATTGGCCAGGTTCTTCATAGTAATAATAATAATAACTGTGGTTATCGTTTGGAAGTCGCATTTATAATATTATTATGTTGTAATAATAACACTGCCAATGTTCCCCGAAAATGTCTGGGATTTAAACGTCTGGCGACTTAGCAGTTGCCGTCGAAAATCTCGTGTATAATGAACTTTTTATTTTGACATGCCTGCGCAGTACATTCCGAGCTGCTGTAATTCGAGCTGTCTAAATTCGCTATCTATACCTACCCACTTTCATACGCATCGTAAATATTGTTCTCAAAGTTTGGAGTGTTAAATTATAGATTATTATATAAAGGTATATTGACCCACTCATATCGTGTGTACCTCCAAGCTGTTCATATAGGGAAATAACAGCACTGGAAAATCTCCATCGAATTTTTTTCTATTGTATTTAATGCGAGGCACGTGTATTTTTCAAAACAAATATAACGCTTTCATCTGATAAAATTGTTTGTTTACACGGTGGAAGTTTATACGATTCGTGGGCGTACCGACGAACAATAAATTTATCCACAAGTGTGTGTGAAAAGGTAAAAATATATGAATTTTATTACAGTTAAAAATGGATTTTGTGTGCGAATATTATCATTTGTTGATTGTATTTTTATGACGTCGGACTTTATTTAGTAAACAGTAAGTCGTGTCATAAATATCATTATTTTTCCGATTAATTTTATGACTTGAAAAGATGTTTATACACTGGACATCCGGATTGATGTAAGAAATTTAAATAATATGAACATATTCTGTAGAACTCATGTAAGTTTAGAGCGTTCAGTTCAAGTGTATTGTGATAAATTAATAATGATATAATTATTATAATAAATGGTTAACATAAAATTAACTGCGTATAAAACTTAAAAACAATAGTGACAATCATTGAAACATTACGTTTACGGTAGTAGTTAAGATACCCAGGAGTCACAGAGCATAACATATAAACATAACTATAGTTCCATATATTATTTTACAGTTTTCAAATAATTACCTAACAAAATATGCCCGAAAATACATATTTATTCAAATCATTCATTTAAAAACAAAAAAAAAAAATAAAATAAAAAAAAACCTTTTTGTAATTTCAATAAATTAATATAATATTAGAAAGTACACACTACATTTGTTCAAATCTCCATTGACACTGGCATACGAATCAATACAAAAAACGATCGATTATTGCTGTCAGTTGTATATTACGTGATTATGTAAAAAATTAAATAGGTAGGTAGTTAAATTGTAAACAATTTTGTATTTATGTTTTACTTCAAGATACTTTTGTAAAAATTGTTTAAATTTGAACAGCGTTAATTAATATCAATATTATAACGGATAGAAACTATGAATCACATATTATATAAAATACTTTGTTAGGTTTTCCTAGAATTTTTAGCTCTAAATATGAAGCAATTATTTTAATTAAGCAATTTTCTTAAAGGATCGCTATTTTTTATAATGTGTGTCGTAAATCATAATTATTGTAAGAAAATATTTTCATAGCTTGAAAACTGTTAATACCTAACAAATACAAAATATTGTCATCATTCATCATAGTATAATGATAGGGGAAGAGGTGTAAACGGAGAACTAAAATACATTTCAAGTTTTCCATATTACTCAATGCAATTATTTGACGACTATCGAGGTACCTTAGATATCTCTCTAATAATATATTGTGACTTGAATAAAAAAGAAAATCGCATACTCTTATGTCATCTTTTCGCCAATTTATTAAATAAAATTCAATAATGCAATAGTGTGATCCATTTCGTTATTATTATTTTGTATCAACTTGCGCTCTGGTGAATCCGATAAATCAAATTTTACATTATTCGATCATATTAAACTTTAACTTTTATAACTTATAAGTTGAAACATGTGTTTACGCGCACTTTAATATAATAGAAATAAACGCAAATGGGAACTGAAAATTCGCACAAACTACGATAAATATATATTATATACCTAGGTATAGGTACTAAAATTTAAAAGTTTAAAACACATAAACAAAATATAGTTTTTAAATTTCCAAGTACAATATTACCGTACGAATGAGAGAAATAGAAATTACTTTTAAAGTTATACATTTAGTTTTTATCTTTTCATACGAGTATTGTTAATGTTTTTTCAATAACTACGTATAGTTGATTATATACGAAACGTTGTTATTAAATATAAACTTACTTAAAATTAAGGAGATTTTAACAATTTATTTGAGCCGAATTTATTTTTATAGATAAGTAATGAAAATAATTTAATGATTTAACTTATAAGGTTTCATTATTGTTGTTTCTCATTTTTAATACATATAGGTAAAAAGTTGAAAGTAATCGCAATACCATAAGTTCTTTCAGAACCTACTGACTTGTATGAGACATAATAATGACTATTTTTGAAAATATTTTCTTTGCAAAACAAAATGTATGTTTACGTTATTTCTTTTGAAAAAAAAACTATAATTAAGGACCCTTCAATAAGTACATTTTTAAGATAGGGGTTTTGAGGTGGACTATAATATGGGTCAAAAGAATGAATGTATACACACAAACTTAAGTGAATAATTTATTATAACTTTGAGTATCTATATCTATCATTTTATATTTGCAAAAGTTAACCTAATACGGGTAATATTATAGTAAAAACTAAAAATTATTATGCGAGATAATTTTGTTACTTCGCAATAGCAATATTTCGGTTATTTTAGCAGAGCTGGTAAATTTTACTTAACTTTTGAAGAATACTATATTATAATATTATTTAGACAAATATAGTGACACAAGTCATTGGGCTTTTATATAATATTATGTTATTTTAGAGTGGTAACAAATAATTATGTTTTCATTAATTATTAATATAGTAGAACAATAATTTTCAATAACGTAGATAAGTTAATACAACTTACTGTTAGGTACATTATGCATAATTATGATTCACATTAAACATAATTAGGCAATTGAAAATAATGGTTATGATGACTATTGGCTTATAATAATATAATATAACATTGTTACGGTCACAATCTAAAAAAATAAAAATAAAATAGAACCGTAATA